ATGTTTAGTTAGCTATTTAACGGTTTTTAAGCAAATATTTTTGATAAACCAACTTTTAGAATTCAAAACTTTCCAAAAAAAGGAGATTTCGAACTAAATTGTTCAGGTTATTTTTTGGCTTTTGATACTGATTACTATTTTGTTATTTTATTATATTTGTAATTTCAGTTTGAGAGTTTTAATTTTTTTTCAAATTTCATTTTGAAATGGATCGAAAAAGGCGAAGAAGCAAAAATTACTTGAAAGAGGAGAAGGAAAATTTAATAACGATCCTTTTTTCTATAAAACAATTCGAGGTCGTCCATAATGAAAATCTTCATCAGATGATGTTGAAGATAATAATGAAGATGATGCTTAAAATCTAATAGATAAGTAATTAATAAATAATCAAACAAATATTCATTATTCTCAAACAAACTAAAAATACATACAAAATTTATCCAATAAATAAAAATAAAAATTCACAATCAGAAAAACACTTGACACAAATATTACAAATTAATATTATTTGAGCAGGTTAGAAAACATTAATTAAAACTTTAACTGTCCAAAATTCGTCGGTTAATGTACACGTCAATTTATTCGTCGAATAACACTATTTATTGTTGATAGAACAAAATTGTGTATTTTTATTGGACTTATTGGCATAAGAGTATACCAATAGGCATAAGATTCCTTATTAAAATTGGACCACCCTGTTAAGGATGCTTATAGACTGTAGAGGTCGCAAAAAAATTGCACTGTAATAAATATCGCAGTCAAACAACGATTTCTCATTTATTCACGGATGTAGGTACATTAGAGTACTAAATTGTTTTGTATTCCGAAACTGTAAAGATTTCTATGAATATAAATGGGCTTCGGAACGCTTTAATTTAAGATACTGTTTTTGGCTATATGTATTAAAATTAGCTAATCTAGGAGATTCCAAAAAAAAAATAACAAAAGGTGTCTAAATAAATATCACATATCGAAATAGAGGGTGTTAATTAATTGATGATGGATGGATGATTTTAAGAAGAAAAGTTTATATCAATATACTATTGTCCTAAACCTCTTAGTTTTCGAGCTACAGAGTGATACAATTTAAAAAAATATAATTTTTCTATCATAATTTTCTTATTACTCCAGATATTTTTATAAAATTTTGTACACATTTTTTAATTATTAAGGAGAATTTTTTAAGGCAAAAGATTTTTTAAAATTTATACCAGTGACGTCTTTTCGGGGTTTGAGCTGAATATGTTTGAAGAAAAAATGGTATGCCACTGATTTATCTAAAAATCAAAATTATTTTTAAAGTCCTCATTTATTTTGGAGCAAATTCGATCCAAAGGTTTACTTTCGTAAACCACCAATTTTCCATTTTCCAAAGCACCATTTTCGAGTAAAAAAATAAAAACCAAAACAATTTTTTCCCATTTTTTTTGTCAAAAATTAATTATCTACTATTACCAGTGATGTCCACGTCCGAAATTTCATAAAAATATCTGGAGTAATAAGAAAATTATGATAGAAAAGTAATTTATTTTCTAAAACTGCAACACCCTGAAGCTCGAAAACTAAGAGGTTTAGCACATATATTGATAAAAACTTTTCTTCTTAAAATCATCAAAATATTCACATCTTAAAGTATCGGCACTCAATTAATTAACACCCTATATCTCAATTTTCTACAGGGTGCCCCTGAAAGTGTGGGAAATCTCTCGGATCCATATAGAACATGACAAAATAAGATGAGAAGTTCCTATAAAAATTTTCCTTACAGGCCCTCCCTACGAAGATATATGTCCCTGAGGAGCGCCGCTGGAAACAGGTTTTCCTTAACCTCCATTTAACAAAAATCTAATATGATGGAACTAGTAGGGACCTTACAAAATTGTGTCTTTGAAATATATTTAGCTTTTTTAGTTTACCAGGGCCGGGCTAAGGTTTACACCTTAACGCATAAATTTTTAACACCCTGTATGATAAAAACTTAAAAAACATAAATCTGGAAAGCTTGAACTAAAAACTTAAAAAAGGTACTCCTCTCAATTGTCGATAAAATGAACCGTTTACGAGAAAAACAATAATAAACGATTTATTTTTACCAGAAATAGTACCACCAATTTACACAATTTATCCGCATTGGATAACTTTAATCGGTAACTTTACTTAGAGTTCTTTCAGAGCGCTTTTCGTGATTTAATAAAGCACTTACCACTTAAAATCCGCCGAAACATGTTCTTCATGCACTATGGGACACCACCGTTTCTGGTTTATAAGTACTGGTTTACTAATTTTTTATTGTTTTTCTCGTAAACGGTTTATTTTATCGACAATTAAGAGGTATACCTTTTTTCCTTTAAAATGTACCTTTATGTCTTTATCATACAGTGTGTTGAAAATGTAGGGGCATTAAGGTGTAAACCTTAGCCCGGCACTGGTAAACTAAATGAGTTAAATATGTTTCAAGACTATTTTGTGAGATCCTTACTAGTGTTCATTTTATTGGATTTTTGTTCAATTATATCAAGTACTTTAGAAGATATTTAAGGAAAATCTATTTCCAGCGACTTCAAGGACGCATATCTTCGTAGGAAGGGCCTGTAGGGAAAATTTTTATAGGAACTTCTCATCTTATTTTTTCATGTTCTACAGTGTGTCCACGGATGGGGTTGCCTATAGGAGAAATTTTTTTATTATTCATTTTACGACAAAAAGTCATTGTTTATAAAAATTTTTGCTTCTTTTAAAAATGAGAATAACACTGAAAAATCTTAGATTGGATCTACAGGGTGTTGTCAAATTAAGAAAACATGAAAATACCTCAAGAGGGAAGTACCATTATTTTTTATTTTACACAAATTTTTTATGAAAGAAAGTTGTTTATAATCTAAAATAAAGTTTGAATGCAAATTTGCAAACTTAAATTCAAATTTTGTGTGTCCCTAGATAAAGTTGATCAGATAAGAAAAATGGTTATTATTCATTTTACGACGAAAAGCCATTCTTTATAAAAAAATTAACTTGTCGAGAAAATGAAATTCACATATCAAAACATTAAATAAGACGTATAGGGTGTTAGTAAATTAAGAAAGAGGAAAAAATGTCAAGAAAGAACGAAAGAATTTTTATTATCTTACATAAAGAAAGAATTTATTTATTATCTTACATTATTATTTTCAAAAAAATGCTTTTAATCTCTCTTTTAATGCTCTTTTTTATAAAGAATTACTTTTTTCTCGTAAAATTAATAATCATTTTCTCTTCTGATCAACTCCATCCGTGGACACACAAAATTTCAGTTCATTAGATGACCCCATAGGAATTAATCCAAGGGGATTACCATGGTAGTGTGAAAAGTTCGCAGCCTGAATTATTTTGCCTGTATAAAGGCATTTAGAATGCACCAGAACCTTTTATAACACTCCGCAAACATATATAATTGTCTACCCGCGTGAACCTAGCACCCCCACCATAAAAAAAAATAAAAAATCATAGATCATAATTTAGTGCTATTTTAGTACTAATTTAGTGCCCACTTCCTAATTTTAGTGCTCGTCTGGTTGAGCAGAAAATTGCGATTGAAAATGGCGGTGCTAAGTTTATAAAGCTAGCACCCCCGCATTTAAATATTTAAACAAAATTAAAAAATAATATATCGGAATTTAGTGCTATTTTAGTGCTTTCGAATGCACTACTCAGAATTTCATTTAAGGTAATTAATCTTAAAGATATTTGATAAAAACGTATTGAAGTCAATAGAACAACAGATAAACATAGAAAAAATACATTTAAATATAGTAATAGGGAAACGATTTTGATCTCTAATTTTTCAATGATTTTAGTGCTTTTAAAGTAGTTAATGTCAGATTTTATTGATCAACCCTTAAACCCAAAAAATCTCATTTTTACTATTTTGTATAGTCTGACCTCCAAGAGTAAAGTGTCATTAAAAATATAGATAGAAAAATGATTTTGTTTCATATTCTTTGTTCATTTTAGTGCTTTTAAGATAGCTAAAGTTAGATTTTAGTGCTCCACCCTTAAACTCAAAAAATCACATTTTTACTATTTTGTAGTCTGCTGACATCCAAGAATAAAGTATCATTAAAAATATAGATAGGAAAATGTTTTTTTTTATATTCTTTGTTCATTTTAGTGCTTTTAAGATAGCTAAAGTTAGATTTTAGTGCTCCACCCTTAAACTCAAAAAATCACATTTTTACTATTTTGTAGTCTGCTGACATCCAAGAATAAAGTATCATTAAAAATATAGATAGGAAAATGATTTTTTTTATATTCTTTGTTCATTTTAGTGCTTTTAAGATAGCTAAAGTTAGATTTTAGTGCTCCACCCTTAAACTCAAAAAATCACATTTTTACTATTTTGTAGTCTGCTGACATCCAAGAATAAAGTATCATTAAAAATATAGATAGGAAAATGATTTTTTTTATATTCTTTGTTCATTTTAGTGCTTTTAAGATAGCTAAAGTCATATTTTAGTGCTCAACCCTTAAACCCAAAAAATCACATTTTTACTCTTAAATTCCGATATATTATTTTTTAATTTGGAGCGGTAAATCAATGAGACCCACCTCGACCAACCCAGACCAATATTTATAAAAATATCGAGTCCAAGAGACAAACAATCCCTTGAATTATTGCTATGAACGTTTAATATTAAACGCCCTATATACAAATAAACTGCTCCACAAAAGTTAAGGAAGTTCGCAAATTTTGCGATTATTTTTAAAGTTACAGACTTTTTGATCACCAAATTTTCAAATATGAGAAACTAAATGTTTTTCTCACATCTGAGTGGATTTTTGCCCCTGCCTCTACAACTCATACTAAATTTGGCGATCAAAAAACCTGCAACTTTTAAATTAATCTCAATATTTGCGAACTTCCTCAACTTTTGTGGAACTCTTTTTTTTTTATTTTTTTTTGATAGATCCAAGACGACATCGAGATGAAAATGAGCACCAGCAACAGTCACCTGAGCCACGCGATGATGGACGGGCCCAGCTGGTCGAGCCCGTCGGCCAGTCCGTCGCCGCCGCCGCCGCCTCTCCCGCCGCCGGTGGCGGCCCGATGGGCTCGCGCCGAACTGGCCGCCAACGAGCCGTGTCCACATTGCAGAGGTAGATTATCGAGCGTGCCTACGAGGACCACTTCGCTCAACAGCTACAGCTACAAAGGTATTTTAAACTTGGGGGAATTACAAGGGTAAGGTGAACACCGCGATTTTTAGTTGACAAATTACATTATTCTTCTTATTAAATCCATATCTTTACATCTAAACGATTCTGGGGCATTCTAGATTCTATGGAGCGTTCTAGATGGTTTTAAAGACAGTTTTAGATAGTTTTGGAAATTTCTAGAAAGTTCTTAACAGTTTTAAACTTTTAGACTTAAATGTAGACTTTTAAATGGTTCTGAAGCGTTCTAAATGACTATGTAGTGTTCTAAATGGGTTTAGATAGTTTTAAATGCTTCTGGAGCATTCTAAATGATAATAGAGTATTGTAAATGGTTCTAGACAGTTTTACATAGTTTTGAAGCATTCCAAATGACTATACGGAGCGTTGTAAATGGTTCTATAGACAGTTCTAAATGACTTTGGAGCTTTGTAAATGGTAGTAAACAGTTTTAAATACTTCTGTAGCGTTCGGAATGATAATAGAGTATTATAAATGGTTCTAGACAGTTTTACATAGTTTTGGAGCGCTTCAAATGACTATATGGACCGTTTTAAATGATTCTCTAGACAGTTCTAAATGACTATGGAACTTTGCAAATGGTTCTACATAGTTTTAAATATATCTGGAGCATTCTGAATGGTTCTAAACAGATTCTAAAATGATTATTGAGCATTCTAAATGACTATGGAGAGTTTTAAATGGTTATAAACAGTTCCATTGATTTTGGAACCTTCTAAATGGTTTTAGACAATTCTAAATGATTCAGGAGATTTCTAAATGGTTCTAGACAATTATAAATACTTCTGCATGAAGTGTTCTTTTAATGACAATAGAGCGTTCTAGATGGTTCTAGACAGTTTTAAATAGTTCTGGAGAGTTCTTAAAAGTTCTAGACAGGACAGTTCTAAATGATTCTGGCCCGTTATAAATGACTATGGAACCTTCTAATTGGTTCTAGACAGTTCTAAATGATTTTGGAGCATTCTAAATAGCTATGGAACATTGTAAATGGTTCTAGACAGTTTTACATGGTTTTGAAGCGTTTCAAATAACTATACGGAGCGTTGTAAATGGTTCTATAGACAGTTCTAAATGACTTTGGAGCTTTGTAAATGGTAGTACACAGTTTTAAATACTTCTGTAGCGTTCTAAACAGTTCAAAATGATTCTTGTCTAAATGACTATGAAGCCGAAGCGTTCTAAATTATTTTTAAATGTTTTAAATGGTTCTAGATAATTCTAAATGTTTCTGTAGCATTCTAAGTGGTCCTAGACAGTTCTAGAATTAATGATAAACGTTACAAAGAGGTAACAAGAATTTTTGCTAATAGGAGCGTCCTAAGTGTCCTATCCTCGTATAATATTGATAAAATGGATGAGAGGATTTCAAAGTTTTTCTCATTTTATCGTTTTTCCCATTTTAGGGTGGGTTTTGTTAAGGATTTCTACGTACACTTAAACGATTTATTTAATAATTTATTTTCCTTTTGAGTCTCTTCTGAATCATTTTTCTATTATTTTAGGTTCTTTATATTGATTGCTTGAGTGGCTAGAGAGGGTTATTGTAAACTATTTAGTGTTCTCTTGGTTCGGCGTCTTAAATAATTTCGTGATTTTTCTCCCAATTTATTTCAGTTCGTATTTCGATGTTCAAATCGGCGCGGTTTCTTCGAAATAGAACAAGCAATAAGTTTTGGAGCGTTCCAAATGACTGTATAGAGCGTTTTAAATGATTCTCTAGACAGTTCTAAATGACAATGGGGCGTTGCAAATGGTTCTACATAGTTTTAAATACTTCTGGAGCATTCTGAATGGTTCTAAACAGTTCAAAATGATTATTGAGCATTCTAAATGGCTATGGAGAGTTTTAAATGGTTATAAACAGTTCCATTGATTTTGGAACCTTCTAAATGGTTTTAGACAATTCTAAGTGATTCAGGATCTTTCTAAATGGTTCTAGACAATTGTAAATACTTCTGCATGAAGTGTTATTTTAATGACAATGAAGCGTTCTAAATGGTTTAAGACAGTCTTTAAATGATGATGCTGGTGCATTTTAAACGACTATAGAGCGTTCTAGATGGTTCTAGACAGCTTTAAATAGTTCTGGAAAGTTCTTAAAAGTTCTAGACAGGACAGTTCTAAATGATTCTGGCCCGTTATAAATGGCTATGGAACATTGTAAATGGTTCTATAGGCAGTTCTAAATGACTTTGGAGCTTTGTAAATGCTAGTACACAGTTTTAAATACTTCTGTAGCGTTCTAAACAGTACAAAAACGATTCTAAGTGGTCCTAGACAGTTCTAGAATTAATGATAAACGTTACAAAGAGGTAACAAGAATTTTTGCTAATAGGAGCGTCCTAAGTGTCCTATCCTCGTATAATATTGATAAAATGGATGAGAGGATTTCAAAGTTTTTCTCATTTTATCGTTTTTCCCATTTTAGGGTGGGTTTTGTTATGGATTTCTACGTTCACTTAAACGATTTATTTAATAATTTATTTTCCTTTTGAGTCTCTTCTGAACCATTTTTCTATTATTTCAGGTTCTTTATATTGATTGCTTGAGTGGCTAGAGAGGGTTATTGTAAACTATTTAGTGTTCTCTTGGTTCGGCGTCTTAAATAATTTCGTGATTTTTCTCCCAATTTATTTCAGATCGCGGTTCCCTCGAAATAGAACAAGCAATAAGGCAATATCGGCATGTATAGCAAATTTAATCTAAAATCGCGCGCTTATCTGCGGCGGAATTTTCGCCGTACCTGGCTCACAAAAGACGTAATTTCGCAGCATCCGTCCGATTTTAAAACTGCTATCATAACGTCCATCGCACGTTGGGGAAATTCGATGGAATCTGTTCTTTGTGTCGCCGAAAAGTCCGCTCCTTTGCACTGTATATTGGCAAAGTTCGAGCGCTGATGAACAGTTGATATTGTTCGCATACATTATGCAGGGCTGGTTCATATTGGCCGGTTATTTTGTTGTTTTTTAATGGAAAAATTGCGCCCGTTTTTCCGCTCATTAATGCTAATCAAACAAAAAAATTCCGGTGTATTTATAACGCGAGCCGGGCTCACTATAGCGAATATACTAATGGGAATTTTAAATGCGTAGAACATATGAATTTTGTAATCGAAAAAAAATATGCACCAGTGATAAGAATTATTTATTGCCGCTCTGGCGCGAATTAAACATAAAAATGAATATCTCATTTACGCGCGGTTTAATTAAAACTCTGACGAGAGGGTCGTATATTAAAAATTACCGATTAAAACCCAATTTGGGTTTAATTATTCCGTTATTAATTAAATACTCGTTTAATTATCTAACTTTTTTTACTTATAAGCAATCACCCTGTATAGAACGATTGATGTGTTTGTGTATGTAAATAACAGAAGAGAAGATTTCTCTTCTATTCATGTATTCAGATTCGAGAAAGGCAACATCAATTTTCAATGGTTTATAATCGAGCAATTCTTAGAATATCCAATGCCTATACTTTTGTTCCTTTTAACAGCACTCGTCGAGTAAAGTTTATATATAATACATTTCCTCGTCAGATGGTAAACATATAGAGGCATTCAAGCAATTAGATAATTGCGTACATAATTGAAAAGTTAGATAGCTAGAAGTATTCCTAATATGGGTAAGTGCAAATTTGCTTGTAATATGATTGAAGAAAGAAAAGATTATCATTATAATAACAGTAATTAGAGTGAGAAAGTTGCAATACCACAATATCGCAATTAATATTGTTGCATCTATATTAAGTACAAATTTGCACTTATGTGTATAATACATGATGTTTCAGAACTCACGCCTTACCAGAAAAGGCCTTATTGAAATGACAATGGAGATGCCAAAACTGCAGACAAAGACATTAAAAAGTTTTTCCTTTGGTAAATAAGAGGTTTAAAATCGACCAATCTCAGTAGGAGTTCAAATCCACGAAAATAACGTGAATTATCTCTACACCAATTTGACATTATTGAAAGATTCTATGTCGTTTTCTGAGCTCTGTCATGCTGATACCAAACCTACAGAATTTTATAATGCTTCAAAAGTAATTTAAATCGAATAATCGATTTTTTTATCAATTTAGAAGCAAATCTTTGATCAATATTCACAGCCGATTTTGGCATCTTTTGTTAACCTTGAAAGTGAAAAGGACATAGATTTTTTTTAAATGTCAAATTGGTGTATACAGGGTGTCTCATAAATTATTTTTTTTAACTGCGTATAGACCTTTTAATTCTAAGCAACTTTTACACGTAATTTTTATTAATATTCTGGAAAATAAAAAAGATGGAAATTTTTAAATTTCTTTAAATTTCGAATATTTTCCAATACGTACCTGTCATTATCATGCAGGTATCAAAAAAATAATAAATAATTAATGACAAAAAATTAATTTTTCGATTGTTGAATTTAAAATGACTCATCTTTTTATAAATAATGAATTGGTGGACATTCTGAATATTTATAGAGTGTTTCCAAAGCGTTTCCAATCAAAATGGCGACAATTGTGAGCAGTTCCTTTTAATGAACTTTTAATGAACAGGGCCGTATTAACTAACTTCTTAATAATTAAAAATTAAAAAAAAAACATGCTCTCTTATTATCCAGAATATTACAAAATTTTACTTGAAAAAATTGCTTAGAAAGTGTCAACTTATAAAACATCCTGTAGCTCAATTGCTTCATTTTCACGAATGTGAACTGCTACTGGGATTGGTCGATTTTGAACCTCTTTATTTACTAAAGGAAAAACTTTTTCATGACTTCGTCTACAGTTTTGGCATCACCATTGTCGTTCCCATAAGGCCTTTCCCGGTGTGGCGTGAGTTCTGGACCACCCTGTATAATATAATATATGAGGTATCCCTGCAGTTCTCGTTACCCGCCGGACCCAGCAATAAATCGCGAGAAGTTTTAAAA